GCATATTTCATGTATGTGTCAAAAAACACCAAATCACAAAGAGAATTTATTTAGCAATGGTCATTTCACACTATCTGAAACTTCCCATCGCATTTGAGATTTTGTGGTGTGAGAGTACTGAGGAGCAAAATAAAATACTTGATGCGCTTCGCACCGCAGCACATCCAGATCGCCAGTGTACACGCATTTTTCCGAAACTATCGGAGGTCTGGTCGTGATCCGGGGTCTACATAAGGAGACATCATTCCGACAGGTCGCGAGTGCGCGGCTGAATGCGCAGTCACGCTGTGAGTTGACAATCCTCGCAGCCTCTGCGTGGCTCAACCTCCGCCTCCAGTTGATCGCTCTTCTTGTCGTCTTCTGCGTTATCCTCATTTCGCTCTTCGGCAGAGCCATCGGACTTGTTGATGTATGTGTCGTTTCCATTATATTTCCATTCTTTTCTCTCCAGGCACGCACAATCCACTTCACACACGGCTCCGTTGACTCTGCTTAATCTTCATGAATTCGCAAACTCGGGCATAACCTACGTGTTTGAGTTTATTCTTTTATTATGCAATCAATTGATGCGTCTGACATAATGGCATTGACCACTGAATGAATTTCCATTGTTGTCGACAGTTTACTTGAGATTTTTAAGGAGGCGGTTTAGCAGTGAAGTTAATTGTTATCTTCTACAACGTTTCACATTTATTAGAATTGCTTGCTGCATTGTTCCTGCAAATAATACTCATATGTTGATTTATTTGAACCAGGTAATGCTAGTGCAGGTTTGTCCCAATGTTTCAGATAAGTTCAGCTGGATTGGCGGTAATTTACACTTTAATGCTCGCCAACTCGATGACCACCTTGGTAACTATGATAAGTGATACTGAGAAAGACTTCATCGCAGTTGAACGGTGCCGAGAATTGACGGAAGATACACCTTTTGAAGCTGCCGTTGTCTCCTGCTCTGGTGTGGTAAGTAAGGGGGCATTTTTTGCGGGTTACCAAACTATTCTTTGCCAAATTCACACAATCCCATTTCTTGGATCTACACGCACCTCACTTCTGGACGCCGCGTCGGATAACCGACACTTATCCGACTTTCCTTTTATGTGCTTCAATGAGTTCAGCTAGGCGTTCTTTTTGTGACGCTTCTTTTATTTGGAATGACTGAAATGTTTTACTACTTACTTACTTACTTTTCGCTTAAATTTCTCCAACTGTCATCGAGTTTTGCACGACTCTAAAATAATCAAACGTTTAAACAAAATGAACGTTTATCGTGAACCAGGCATCCATTTGGCCGTTCACCTACCTATGGCTGCATTCCATTACCGTAAACAGCTTGGTACAATGTCGCTTACTGCGTTCGGATCACGCATGTGAAATTAATTGCAACCTGACCGTTGGTTCCAGCTCTGAAACGTTGCAACAATGTGCCTTATATACTTAAATGTAGAGCGATGTCATTGTTACTATTAGTGGTTTATTTGAGTGGGAGAATAGAATGTTACGTCTTTGTATTTTCTACGAAGACGATTTCGAGTTACCCAACCATTGTTATTCTTTCCGCTCTTTTGCGGGATAAAACTTATTTGATCCATGCAAAAGCAGTGATCAAGCAATACACGATATAATTTGGGCTGATTTTGTGAGAGCCATTGTCTCTTCCGCGTTCTTAGGATTTGAACTAAAGAGGCTTTGTTTATTTGCTGCATTTTCCGCCTCCTCCGCCTTTTCATATCGTCGAGGTCCCGAGCCATCTCCATCATCCACTCTCAACGCACATTTCACAAACTACCTTGTCAGCCTGTCCCCAAGTTGAGGTCGCGTGGCCCAAGGAAGGTTGCATTGTATTTGAAAATGTCCATCTTGTTTACCCCTCCATGATGACGTCAACGCAGCAAACGGAAGTGATTATGGAAGGAAATGAGAAGGAGAACTTTGCACTGAATGGCGTTTCCCTCAAAATAGGGGCGGGTGAGCATGTTGGTGTTGTAGGTCGGACGGGTTCGGGTAAGTCTTCTCTCCTGCGCGTTCTCTTCCGCCTTGTGCCCCACCTCGAGGGACCTATTACGAACCCGCAGATTGCTCGTCTCAAAAACTTCCGTGGCGCTACGGGCACGGTCAGCATCCTCACCATCTCCTTACTTCACTAAATCTTTCATTTCAATTTGATTAATGGTATTTCAAGACTCTTAAACTATGGCATGATGTGCTACCTAAAATTTAACCCCATCCAAGTGTACGATAAATTAGTGCAGTTCACAAGTAACCTGAACTTAAGAATCGTAGATGTTCATTTTTAAGAAAAGGATAGGAAAGTGAATTTTTTTCACAGATACGTTTCCGGATAAGAAAATAACCACAATCGTTTGTCACAGCGTTTATGAAATTCTTGTATGGTTTATCAGTTTTTAGGCGAATGACTAGGCTGAACGTAAGCTAAGCTTTTGAGTTTAACTACTAAGTTGAAAAAAGTAAGCAAATCAATTCTTTTCTGAACAATACCAGCATGTAATAAAGAGCTAAATTATTAAATATGCCTTTGTAAAATAAACTGCATCTCAAAACACTCCAGGTGAAAGTCGACGACATAGATGTGCGTCAAGTGCCATTGAACATTCTACGCTCGAGGATGTTGTGTGTTTCGCAGGATCCTTTTTTGTTTTCTGGCACCGTTCGTGACAATCTTGATCCTGATGGGTGAGCGCTTTTCGATTATTGCCCATTGGGATTTTTACCTCACGCTCAGTATCAGCGTAAGACGAGTAAAGGTACTGGCATAACTTTTGCATTTGAAAGGTTTGATAGACGATAATCAACTAACGCTTGTTCAAGAACATCAATTCCATCAGCCAAACTATTTAAAGTGAGCATTTAGAGTTCTCGGCCCTTCTACAAATGTCATGCATAGTTACGTATACTTGCAAACGATAATTGGCATATGGAGGCTTTTTAAACTTTTAGTCTCTACTCCGATGGTCAGTTGGCGGATATACTAATTAGGTGTGGCTTAGTGAACGAAGAGGGCGAAACCTTGACACTCCTGTCTAGTGAGGTAGGTGAGGCTGGTCGGAGTCTCTCAGCCGGACAACGGCAACTTCTCTGCCTCGCTCGAGCCCTCTTTCACCATAGTCGCTCTCAACACAGTGTCATATGCCTTGATGAGGCCACTTCATCTCTCGATGACACTTGCGAAAAAAAGATTCAGGTAGGGCGAGTGCTTTGCTGTCCTTATTGCCACTAGGGCATGCCTCCATTCCCACTCATGCAAGTTAGGACACAAGTAAACTACAGGCAAACAAACGAGGCTTAGGTCGACCAACTTTTTAATCTTTCGGATTAGTATTTATAGCTTTGTTTCCTAAATGATGTACTGCTTGTAGTTAACAATAAAGAAAAGGTTGGGAATAACCAAATTGGTATTCATTTCGACTGAAATTTAGGATATGTTGGTCAACGAATTCGCAAATTCGACTGTCCTGCTGGTAGCGCATCGCCTCTCCATTGTGCTAAGCTGTTGTACCCGCGTGGTGGTGATGAGCTTTGGCCGCATCGTCGAGGAGGGCTCACCACAACACCTGGCCCAGACGCCCAGCTCGTATTTCTATAAAATGCTCCACAGCCATGACCTGTCTTCCCAATCCACTTTTACTGCTCCAACCTAATGGGCTCCGTCCAATTTGTCTTTTAATTTAATGCGGTTTTTTAATGCTACCCTTATCACTACTAACACTTGTGGTTCTGACCTGCAAGCGTTCAAAACGGCTTTCACCATCATGTTAGCAGCATTAATAATTGGAAGCAAAAAAGTGGTAAAATTATCATATTCATAATACTTTTTCCAGAACTGGAGCTCTATCTCAGTATTTTCCATTAACAATAGATGTGCTATGTATTCTCGGGGAGTCAAAGTGTCAAAACAACCTCTAGTGGTTCCACAAACAAATATGCTGCCACATTTTTGGAAGCTAAACAATTCCAGAGTGCATCTAGCGATCAGAGATGGTGTCAGTGCGTGTGCCACATATTCCTCTCTCACTGAACGCATTTTAGTTAAATTGACCTTGTTTAAGCATTAAGTTGGAGCATCCCGAATTTCATCTCTAGATGAACACCAGTGAACCTCTTCACTGCAGGTGTTTTCATAAAAACCATCCATGGACAAGAAATGTATGTCCCTTGTTCATATAGATGCGAACAAAAGACAAAGTTGATATGACAATACTTTTGATACATTTGGTCATCGGCGGAGTGGAAACAAGTCCCTTCAACCTGTGTTGCGTTTAGCTGCATACGTATGGCTTTTCGTAGACAAGACAACGAGGACTTCAGTTCGAATGTGTAGGTTTTGAAAAGTCATACAATCCTGTAATAAATAGCAGTGGCATTTGGGGAACTTTCGCTTTCTTTAAGGTGGTACTCAATGGCACCAGTAAGTAGCCCTTTAGTTAACTTTGTAAAACTCCATACAGTGTACTTGTTTTTAATAATTGTTCCCATTCCCTGCTGTTACGATGAA